TTTTTTTTTTTTTAAGTTCTGAGCTCACAGTACTTGGGCTGCGCCGGCGAGATCTCGCGAGATGCGGCAGGGCCGCTTCACCTCAGGCGTGTGGTACCCGAGGCGGTGCTAGAGCTGCCGGCCGCCCCCCGCTCCCGTGGGTGATGCCGGGGGCTTTCCCGTCCGGCCCGCAGGTGCTTCCGGAGTGGCCGCCGAGGGGCGCCCCGAGGCGAGGTCCGCTCGCTGCTCCGGCCCGCCGCGACTGCCGGCCCTCACCCCAGGCCTGAGCCTTAGGGGGAGGCAGGATTTCCTCTGTGCAGCTTTTGAGGCGGTCGACTCCCCGCCTGGCCGCGTTAGATTTGCATAACCAGAAACTCATTCCAGTGGAGATGCAGTGGGTGTGTCCACGCTTCGATGACACCTTTATTTTAAAAGCTGTGATGTTTGAAGGTGAGAAGGGAGCTTAGTGGTGATACGTTACCGTTTCGAGGCGATTCTTAACTTGAGGCATTTCCAGAAAGAAAAGGAAGCTCAGCTCGGAAGTGAATACACAGAAGTAACTAACTGTAGAGCAGTGACTAACCGTGGAGCGCTCACCGGGAACTTTGGGCTTGGTTTAGGTTGTGAGGAATTCCTGTTTTCCTCCTCTCCTCCGCAAGCCTGGTTTCTCTTCTGTGAAATGTACAGGAATATCGTGATTTTGCAACTTTCTTAGCAGCAGAATCTATTTTTAACCTAAATTCTATCCCCAGCCCCACGTAAAAGCAGCTAACAGCAACGAATGGTTTCTTCGATCCCTTGTCTTTTATTTATGCTTGTGTATTTAAAATTTTATCTCTGGGGATAAACACCATCCTTTGCTGAACCCTGAAAACATGACCAAAGAGCCGTGGAGCTTGCAGGGTTCTTTGGAAATGCTGTGAAGAAAGTTGGCAACCAGGGAGTTTTCAAGAAATTGTGATACCCATGATCTTATCTGACCTTTGCACCTTTTCTTCTACATTTATTATTTTATTATTTCTGTTGTAAAAAATGGAGACAGGAAGGAACCACTTTTGAGTCCTGTAGCCACAGTTTTTAAAGTCCTTCTTGAGCTTTAGCAATAGTAGGAGAAAACCAGAAGAGGCCAGAAAAATCAGGCAGTCCTTAAAGCAGTGCAGTTTGTACAAGGGCATTGCTGCCTTAGTAGCAGATCTGTGTGGTAGGGATGCTAATTTGGTAGCTCTTGGGATTCCTTATTCATTGAGCTGAACAAATGGTAAGCACCTACTATGCGGTGCTCTGTATTTTGAGGGTGTGACAGTGAGCAAAGCAGACAGTCGCTTCTCATGGAAATCGTAGTCTCCCTTGGGAGAGAGAGAGGCAATAAAGACAAATAGATAAAACGTATAGCAAGCGAGTAGTGAGTGCAGAGGAAGGAGAATGGGATATGTGTGTGAGATGGAGGTGGCAAAATTTGTCATGGAAGGGCCCCACTGAGAAGGCGACATTTGAATGATGGAGTTCTATGTATATTTGGGGAAATACTGTTCCAGGGAGAAGAAAAGCAAAGACCGAAAGGTGAGAATATTCCTGACATGTTCATGGAATTAGATACAGCCCAGTGTGGCAAAAGCTGTTTGAAGGGATGGGAAGAATCAAAGGCAATTGTGTTGGAGAGTTTAGGGGTTGGAAGCAGGATAGACCAGAATGGACCCCTCCCCCCCCCCATTGGCTCTTGGAAGGACTTTGGCTTTTAATTTGAGTGAGATGGTATATTGGTTTCGACTGGCATAACACAGTACCGTAGATTGGGTTGCTTAAATAACAGAAATTTATTTCCTTACAGTTCTGGAAGCTAGAAAGTCTAGGATCAGGGTGCCAGTATGGGCAGCTTCTGGTAAGGGCTTTCTTCTGGCTTACAGACATTACAGTCTTTTCACTGTGTTCTCACTTGGTGGATAGAGAACTCTGGTGTCTCTCCCTATAAGGGGACCATTTTCATCTAATCAGTGCTCCACCTATATGACCTCATTTAATTTTAATCATTTCCAAAAGGCACTATCTCCAATACAGTTAGCTGAATTAGGGCTCTCACATATGGATTTGGGTGGGAAGGTCACTTTAGTTCCTAGCAGATGGCAAGTTATTAGAGTGTCTGAGTTGAGGAATGACATGATTTGACATATATTTAAGACATGAAGCTAACTGCCTTGTAAATATACAAGAAGGTAAGTGGTGAGGCCAAAGAAACAAACAAGGAGATGTTAAGAGGCAACTCAGCAATCCAAGAGGTGATGGTATGGCTTGGCCATAATGGGTAGTAGTGAAAATGGGGGTGGGAGGGAAGTGGTTGAATTAGGGAAGCAATAGAATTTTTTGATAGATGTGGAGGGTGAAAGGGAATCCACCTTTGGCCTGAGCAACTGAAAGAATCGCGTTACTATTTTCTGAGATGGAGGAAATGGTGAATAGAGCAGGGTTGGGTAGGAGGCATATCGGGAGCTCAGTCTGAGATATCCATTGGAGGAAACAAATACATGTATAGCAATTAATAGTAGTCACTCATAGAAATGTGTAATTGCAAGCTGAGAAGTTCTAGGACAGAGAGGAACATAGTACAATGAGAATGCAAAATACGGGGGCCAGACTTAGTGAGGGAGGAAGTGACTTTTCAGCTGAGGTCTGAAGGGTGAGAACTTGCAGGAGTGGGGGGAGGGGTTCAAAAAAGAGTAATATTGTGGGCAAAAGCCCTCATGGACTGAACATGGCCTAAGGAGCTTTAGGCCAGTTTGGTTAAAGCATGGAGATTAAGAGACAAGAGTGATAAGAGATGACTATTCTAAAAGCCCTATACAACCATTAAGGGGTTTCCAGGGAGGCAGAGGGGGACATGACCAGATTTAAATTTATTAAAAGTCTCTCTAGTGATTTTGTGGCAGAAGATTGTGGAGAGGGGCAAGAATAAGAAAGGATACAATTTCAGTAATCTAGGCAGAAAATGATAGCAGTACCACTAGCTAACGTTTATACGGAACTTGTCCTAGATTCTGTGCTCACTCTACATTCATAATCTTATTTCATTCTTACAGCAACACTATGAAGAAAATCCTAGCATTGCCCCCATTTTACAGATGAAAAACTTGCTTAAGGGAAAAAAATGGTTAAGTAACTTGTCTGAGGTCACTCAGCCAAAATGCATATTTGAATTCAGGGAGATGTCTTCACTAATCAAGCTTTGCTCGTTTGGATTGTGTGGGATGCACGGGAGATGACGAAGGGGAAAATTTGAGAGGTACTTAAGAGGACTTAGAAATGGGTTTAAGGAATGAAAGAGAATAAAGTATGCATTTTCTAACTTTGTGTACCTGGGGTTAGATGATGGTGACATGAGTGAGGAACATTCTAAAACTAGGTTTGGAGATGACTATGAGAAATTTGGTCTAGAACATATTGTGGCTGAGATACTTTTGAAACATCTAAATGGAAAAGTATTTGGCTACATGGGTTTTGGGCTCATAGGAAAAGTTTGTATGACAGAGTACAGATGTGGGGATCTTCTGCAAGTAGACCCCATGGACACAAATAAGATCACTTAGGGAGATGGTGTAGAGCAACACTGTACAACAGAACTTTCTGCAGTGATAGAAATGTTCTATATCACTGCTGCCCAGTATAGTAACCATGAGCCACTTGTGGCTCTTGAGCACTTGAAATGCCTAGTGCAACTGAGGAACTGAGTATTTAATTTAATTTTATTGAATTTCTTAAGTAGCCCCCTGAACTAGTAGCTACCATATTGAACAACGTAGATATAATAGGGCTCAAAAGAAGGCCTAGAGTCCAGCCTTGTGTAATTCCAACATGTAAAGACTAGATAAAAAGGAGGAGTGGCCTGAAAGTTGAAAAGAAAACCAGATGAAGTCATTCTTAAAGTAAGATTAGCTGTATTAAACTGGGCCAAGAGATGGAGACAGATGAAAAGTAGTAATAGATTGAATTTAGTACCATGTATTAGCCAACATAATGGGAGGGTAATGGTGGGGAGCAAGGGTTCCAGGAGATGTAATCAAACTGTGCATGTGAAACTTGTAGAAACACTGTCAGGATACAACATTTGTTTATTAGATTTACCGTGTGTCAATTTAGAGACTAACCATCAGGAGAACAGACTGCTTGTCAAGTGCCATGAGGGAGTACTCCAATCGTTTTGCTCATTTTCCCCTTTTGTCAGAAAGTTAGCCTGTGGCATTTGTATGTGCAATGTATTTGCTAGTGTGTAGTGAATGTACTTAGAATTTTAGGACGAGAAGAGACTTAGGTTATTATTCCAAGCCTCTCAGTTAACAAATGCAAAAAATCCTAAAAGGAGGCATAGATTATGTCAGACCTACAACTCTTCATACCTGCAGCTTTAGAATATGTGAGATACAAAGCCATGTGGAGCCTTTGAAATCAGCCTTTTTTCTTTTTTTTTTTTTTACAGTGGGTTTTACTTGAATATATTGTGTGTCCTCACATTCTACATGGTTATTGGTTTTTCTTTCTTACTGGCTGTCATTCTGCATACAGATTAGGCCAGTGGTATTTCTCTTGGCAAATAAAGTAATTATCCTATTATGGGGAAAAAAAAGTTACCCTAGAGAAGCTTGTTTATGCTGTAAATGTCATAATTTTGTTTTCTTACTCAAGTCCCAATCACATCCTTATTTAAAAATTTATATTTGTACGGGGCGCCTGGGTGGCACAGTCGGTTAAGCGTCCGACTTCAGCCAGGTCACGATCTCGCGGTCCGTGAGTTCGAGCCCCGCGTCAGGCTCTAGGCTGATGGCTCAGAGCCTGGAGCCTGTTTCCGATTCTGTGTCTCCCTCTCTCTCTGCCCCTCCCCCGTTCATGCTCTGTCTCTCTCTGTCCCAAAAATAAATAAACGTTGAAAAAAAATTTAAAAAAAAAATAAAAATTTATATTTGTAAGTTATATCTTTCTAAAAAGAGAGCTCAAGGTTTTATTGAGTTTAAATCTTATCCCAGCTATAAGCCTATAACACATTTAAAATAAACCTGGTCAAAATCTTTTTTTCATTCCCCATTTCCACCTATGAATACATGTATTTGTCATAAAACTAATCAAGGAAATCCCTTTCACTCAAATTTTGTATTGAAAAAGTTATTTTTCTCTCTGTACTGATTTACTTTTAATACTTATAACTCTGCAGGTGGTAAACATTTGCAAACTTTGAAGTTCAAAATTGTTACCAAATAGTAATATATGAAGGAAATACTTTTACAGAATAGTGTAGTGGTTACAAGCATGCTCTTAGCCAAACTTTGGATTTGACTCTTAGCTTCAAGCGCACCTTGTCATGTGACTTGGGCTAGTGTGACCCCTGTGCCTCAGATT